TTTGTTTTTGAAGGATTTCTGCAGGCGACCTACACGTCACCGACACCACCAGAGGAGGAGCCGCTTTATCTTGAACTCCCCAGGTATGGTCCTCAATGTAAATGGGCCTCCCTGTCAGATCTGAACCCCGTGACTCTGAGCTTTCCCGGGGGGGCGCCCATACAGCTGCACACAGTCCCACCAACCTTGGTGCCCAGGGTACCACACTACTTTGTCTGTACCCGGTGTGGAAAGGTATTCTGGGAGGGCTCTCACTTTGGACGCGTTCTCTCCATGTTTAAGGGGGTCATGCACATCACAGATGAAGATGCACAATAAACAATTTTAAAAACTAAATGTAAAAATACAATTAAAAAAAAAAAAACACCAAACATTATTGGATGGGTGATACTGATAGGAAGTTGCCTAAAGCAACACAAAAAAAAAAAGCGACCTGATTTCTCATTTTTTTAAATTGTTTTTATCTTACCTAGCAAGCATCCACAAGCATCTTACCTAGGTTAAAATGTAAACATGTATCATCACATTTCTGCAAGCATTTTTTGTTTGTTTGTTGAGACTTTAAATTGGAGTGAACCAAACATTTGTATCACAATTTGATGTGTTCGATGTTCCTTAAAAAGAAATGATGTCACTTAAATGGAAACCTTGAAAACACTCAGCATGTTATCGATGACATCGAAGTTTGCTTGAACTTTGAAGTCCAATTGTTTCTGTCATGATTTTTATTTCTTTTAATTTCTCTATTTAAGAAGCTGAGCAAAAGCAGGTCTTATTTTGTACTTTTTAACATCGGCTCTCTGGGTTTATCTTAAGAATTGTAGAACTGTACATTCAATATTTGTTAATAAAACCCTGTGATTCTTTGAATTGAATGTTTGCAAAATTGTGAGAATACCAACCCTGCTGGTGTTTTCTACACCCAAAAAAAAAAAAAAAGAAAGGTTGATGCCACACAGGTGTAACATGAACAACTTGGGGTATGGGGGGCCGGCTGGATTCTGACCTGAAAGAGTACGCCCCACACGTCCGGTAAGAATTCCTTCACATTTCATCTCTTAACCTCTTTTCCTCTCTTCGTAAATCCTTCATTGATTTTGCGCTTGCCCCTCGACTGTTTTTAAGAGATCCAAATACATTTCGCTCACTCGTAAAATACAACTATCCTTAAAGCTTGGCAGGTGTCCACTTTCCTTGATTGATGGCTCGCATTCAAAAAAAAAAAATTCACAGTGATTTCCTTGAGGCATGTTGTGCTGGGACTCATTAATGTGTTTGTCAATCACACATGACTGACTGTTCTGAATCATCCTACATTCCATTCAGTTTGCGGAACTGACAGTTGAGGAACTCCCTCTTGAATGTCACCGAATGCCATCTTGCGAATTGCGTAACTTCAAGACATTCGCTCTCCGCAGATTGAGGCTTTGTCGGTCGTGGTAAGATTACACCATGCACAATGCAGGTGTCTGTCGGGACTTTGTAAGGCATTGTGTCTTTTGAAGGATAATAGAGGGGATCTGTTCATTGCGGGTGTCGCGGAAACGGACCTTGCTTCTTTCTATGTGGGGTATTGAACGTAGAATTTAACAAGAAACTGTTGCGCACAAAGGGGACAAAGTCCCAAGTCTGACGTTCTGGAATTGTGTCGACACAATTACGTTTAACTTGATATCTTGTTAGGTGCTGCTGTTTTAAAATAAACACTGCTGTACAATATATTTTGGATCACTAAACATGAGGATGACCATAGAACTAGACGGGACCAACTTTGTCCAAATGACTCGACTGATCGGAATCGATGCCAACTGATTGAAATGATTATGATGCGCACTGCCCGACGCCCCGTACCGCCTGCGTTCAGGCGGCCACGGTGCCATGCGTCTTTGTGCTCGGCTCCTCCGCCTTTGAAACCGAAGCACGCAGCCGCTTCTCATCTCGCCTCGACTCTCTGCCGAACTTGCCACTTTCTTTCCAGGCAGAAGCTCCTGCCTCGAGAGTGAACTCCTGCCTGTGCACCGAGCGCCATCTCTGCCGCAGCGCCATGTTATTTGATCCTTGCTCTTTCTTTGCTGGGAAGAAAAGCTCGCCTCTTTCCCACGCTCCGAGGACACGTGGTGTCCGGAATGAATTGGATGCAGAAGGCCCTCCCTCCACAGTACCACGTCACCTCCTTTCTCTCTCTCTCTCTCTCTCTCTCTCTCTCTCTCTCTCTTGCACTACACACACTAGCGGGTTCTTCAGGCTTTTCAGCAAGAATGCCACTGTTACCAATGTGAGGGTGTTTTATTTTTAACTGAGATTTTTACATGACAGTTTTACACGTATTTCCTCCACGGGTTTTCCTGTCTCCTCGTTTTTTTGTGGGGGGGCTGCATGCATGCATACCGTCTCCACCCTCTCCCGGGACCCCCCCCCCCCCCCCCCCCCCCCCCCCCCCCAAGGGTCACGGCAAACCTCGGCCTTGCGCAGCGAGTTGCCCTGCTCCGTCCGGCCCGTGCGTTTACAACGTGTCACCTCGGGCTCCGGGCTCTTTGTCTTGACTCTGGAAAAAGCACGCCTTGTTTATCAACACCATTTTGATCCAATGGAGATAGGGCTCCAGTAATAGAACCGCAATTGACTTCTGCGATCATTCTAAAAGTTCATTCCACCATGGATGATTTAGTAGTCCCAATTATACGATAATAACTGTTTGAACCCAATCATTCTTTTGTTACTTCCCAAAGTATTGTTTATCTGGTTTTGGCCGCTTCCCAGAGAATTATTCCGAAGAATTAAACGGAAGAAACGCTGAAACATTTTGCTGCTGCGGTCTGCGCAAATGTTTTCCAAGTGTCCACACGCACTGAAGCCAAGTTCTGATGGTGGACAGATGTTCCCGATTTTCCGCAAGTTCTCCTCCATTCACCAAGTCAAAGAGAGAGGCTGAAAAACACACACATAAACATAAGCAAAACACATGTAGATCCAAATCCCATTGACACACAAAAAAAAAAAAATCATGAGCTGCGTTCCACTTTTGAAGTACAATACGTGTGCACTCTTGCAGGTCAGTGACGGCGGCAAAAAGGAATACACATCTGTTTCTGAATACGACCTAAAAAGATCTGAGTCAAATTCTCACCACATTGATTGGAGTGAGTCAGAGCTTTGTGTTTGAACGTTTGCAGCTGTGGGAACAAACAATAAAGAAGCTCACCGACACCTGCAGACGCGCCCATGAAAATGCATTGCTGAATCACATTCAGGTTTGATACCTCTGCAAATTTTTACGTTGAGTACATTGGCAATGCCTTAAAGGCATGCTTGGATAAATACCTGACTGACTTTCATCCCATCAGAATACCCTTTGGGATGAAGTGGAACCTTACAATTGTTCTTTTGGATGAATCGACACAGACTCCAAATGGACTTGTACCCCATTTTTCTCCCTTACCCCCACCTTCTCTCTCTCTCTCTCTCTCTCTCTCTCTCTCTCTCTCTCTCTCTCTCTCTGCTTTATCCCCACACAGGCGTGTTTGT